CAGAATTCAGAGCTGGCTACACTGGGTCCCAGCTGCCCCACCCCCTGGCTCTGGGCACCCCCACCCCCTTGGCTTCCCAGCCCCTCTGCTCTCCTTGTTCCTTCAATGACTTGCCTGCTCTTTTAGACCCTGCCTGTGTTTTCTCCTCCATGCAGTCCCCCTTGAATAGACTCCCACCAAGAATAGACCCTGTCATCCCTCTGTGCTTCCCCAGGACTATTGCCAGATCCCTCCCCCCACACCCCCACTGATTCATGGGACTCTCCCCACCTCATCTCCCCCACACATCCTCCCTCCTTGGGCTCAGCGGGTTGGTGTGGGGGGGGGAGGCGCCTTCCTGGTGAACTGGGCGCTGGTTGGTGGTGGTGGGGCGCCTTCCGGTTGAACTGGGCGCTGATGTGGGCGCTGGTGCGCGTGTCCTGTGGCCGCTCCTCAGGGCGGGCCTCTCGGGAGCTCCCAGCACTCGTCCCAGCGATGAAAACAGCAGCTCCTGACAGAAAGGTCCTGTCGGGACTTGCCGGGTGCAGACAAGTGAACGTGAGCTCATCCCGGCCTTGCAGCCTCCAAACAAGGGCCTCTCCCTCTGGCCCCGGGACAGCCTGTGCCAGCGCCACTGCCCCCCTCCCCTGCCAGACTGTCCTTGGCAGCCCATGAGCTGATGTCCTCCTGCTGCCCTGGGCTGGATACTGGGAACCGTAGGGCCAGTCCCCCATTTCCTGGCCTCCGTAGAAGCAGGGCTTTCCAGTCTGCAGAACCGAGGAACTGCAGGGTCTACTCTCCATGCCAGCCTGCCCAGCCACTGTCCCGACCTCTCCCCAGGGGCCGACTCCCAAGAGGCACTGCACTCTCCCTCCGCTCCCCCCAGCTGCCTGTCTGGGGAGCAGAAGGCTGTGATGTGGAGTATGGGCCTGGGTCAGTTCTACCACACCTCCCTCTGGGAGCCCCTCAACACTTCCAGCGTCCTCCTGCCTGAGACATCAATCCAGCTGTGCTCCCTAAGACACCCTTCCAGTGATGCTCCCTAAGACACTGATCTGGCAGTCCTCCCTAAGACACTGATCCAGCAGTGCTCCCTAAGATGCTGATCCAGTGGTGCTCCTTAAGACACTAATCCAATGGTGCTCCCTAAGACACTGATCTGGCAGTGGTGCTCCCTAAGTGCAGAGCATCCTGGGTCCCTGCAACCCCCATTTGTGCAGGGACAGGCAGAGAGGTCAGGGGGTCCTAGAGCCCGGGCAAGAGGCCATGATGGGCAGACTGGCAGGCAGGGGTGCAGGGATGAGCTGAGGGTCTCCCAGTAGGGGTGCCTTGGCTGTGGCCACTCCTCTCTGAAGCCCTGCGTTTTGCCCACCCCACGCCCCACACCCTAGTCTCCCAGCTCCTTAGTTTCCTCCCTTGCTATTCCCTCTGACTTCTCTATTCCTCCGCCCACAAGCTGTGCCTTGCGCCCCTTAATCAGGACAGCACCCTTGGGTGATGGAGGGGACTGGCTCTATATGGGGATGGGGTGAGGGTGTCAAGACGACTTCCTGGAGGAGGAAGGCCCTTAGTTGAGCCTTGGAGAATAGGGGTCTAGCCAGGGAAGAGGTGTGGGAGGAGGGCACTCTAGGCAGAGGAACAGCGTCTGGGTTTGGGGGCGCTGGGCCAGGAGGGGACCCCCCAGAAGGCACGAGAAGGCGAGGGCCCTCTCCAGACCGGCTGCAGCGCCTGGCCCAGGGGTGCTGAGTCTGTGCGGGGAGGCCCCAGGAGGGCGGGGTGGGTGGTGGTGGAGCCCGCCTGGCCTTTGAAGAGGGCAGCGCCTGCCAGGCTAAGGGTTAATTAGCCCTAATCAAGGCGGCACCTCCTCCCTCCACCCTCCCCCTCAGGCCTGGAAGGGAAGGCAGGGAGGAGTGGGTGAGCAGGAGGCGGGCCCAGCCCTGCCATGCACACAACCCCAACCCTGCAGCCGGAGGCCCCCCGCCCCCAAAAAACACACACCAACTGACCAGGGAAAGAGGGCTAAGGTCAGCTAAGCAACACTGACTCCAGAGCCAGGTCCAGGCCTTCTCCTCCTGGGGGTTCTCCAGAATGGATGCCTCCTTTGGGGTCCCCCCAGCCCAGCCCTGAGCCCAGGGTGCAAGGCTTGTCTGTATCGTCTCTGTGCTGGACAGAGATGAGGGCCCCCTTCCCCTGGCACTCAGGCAGGCTCCTTGTTGTAAGAGTGGACCCAGGGCCTGCAGTTGGGGGGGTATTGAGAGGGGAGGGGGCATGAGGGGGAGTGGGGGCTGTAGGCCCAGCACCTGCAAAGCACTTCGGGCTCAGGGTGGGAGCCCCTATCTTTTTTTGAAAATTTGTATTGAATCAGCATGCATTACAAGGTCACGATTCATGACTGAGTTTGAGGTGTACAAAGTCCCAGCACCTGTCCCTTCATCAGTGTCTGCTTCCCTGCATCGAGGTCCCAATTCCCTCCCGACCCCAGCCTGTCTTGGTGGCACTTTCCCCTGAGCCACTGTCATAGTGTTCCCTTTTCTAACTTGTCCCCCAGCCCCACCCCAGTGCCAAACTGAAGACCATTTCTTATGCTCCTTGCTTCTGTTGCCTTTGAGCACTTGGTATTCCCCTGTGAGGCTTCTTCTATCCCATACGGAGAGGTCATGCTGAGGTTGGTGCTCTCCTGCTGCCTGGCTCTAGTATGTAACAGGAGCCTATATAGTGTCTTAGAACAGGCCTCTGGAGACTTTGCCATCTCCCCTGTTTGCCCGAGAAATACCCACAGGCGAGCGGATCCCAGGCTGCAGGAAGCTCAGAAAACCTCCTGGGGGCTGGAGCGGGGAGGGTGTTTGCCTTGCACTCAGCCAACCCCGGTTTGATTCCCAGCATCCCGCATGGTCTCCCGAACACCGCCAGGAGTAATTCCTGAGTGCAGAGCCAGAAGTAACCCCTGAGATCACCAGCTGTGATCGAAAAAGCAAAAAAGAAAACCTCTCACTGTTGCCAGTACTTCCAAGATGCCCCCAGGCCCAGGGGCACGCCCCTGGTGGGCGAGGACCCCATTTAGGACTACAGAAGGGCTAGAGGAGCCCGCAGGCCTGCCTGTTTCTGCAGCAAGAGCTTTAGGTCCAGGGGACCACGCGGGCTCCGCATTGGCTGTGAGAAGAGCTGGGAGGAAAGTCCACGGAGAGGCTGGGTGGGCGCTCCCCACCCTGGGTGCCAGGAGGCGCTTTGCGAGGCCCACCCTGCAAGCATCAGAGAGGCGGTGATGGCCCAAGGGACCCAGCTGCTGCGGAGGAGGTGGAAGGGTGCAGGGCCGGGGCTGTGGCCAGGGAAGGGCCCAACCAGCACACCTACCCGCTGCCCCGCAGGGTGGTGATCGTGGTGCTCATCGGCGTGAGCGTGGCCTGGATCCCCGTGCTGCAGGGGTCCAATGGCGGGCAGCTCTTCATCTACATGCAGTCGGTGACCAGCTCCCTGGCGCCACCCGTGACCGCCATCTTCCTACTGGGCATCTTCTGGCCGCGCGCCAATGAGCAGGTGGGGTCAGCGGACGGGTGGGCGCTCGGTCCCGGAGCCGATGAGCAGGAAAGAACCTGCCTTCTCCCTCCCAGGGGGCCTTCTGGGGGCTGATGGCTGGGCTGGCGGTGGGGGCCACGAGGCTGGTGCTGGAGTTCTTGCACCCCTCGCCCCCCTGCGGACTCCCGGACCCGCGGCCGGCCATGCTGAGCGCCGTCCACTACCTGCACTTCGCCATCGCCCTCTTTGCTCTCAGCGGTGCTGTGGGCGTGGCCGGCAGCCTGCTGACCCCTGCCCCACCCAGCGTGCAGGTGAGTCCACTGAGTCTGCCCACGTCCTCGCTCTGGCCCCCTTTGGCCTCTGAATCTCTCGTGATGGTTCAGAAACATTCCAGGGGCTGGGGGGAGGGCCGATGACCCCATTTTGAAGTCAGGCACTGCCTGCTCCACTGAACTCCTCCAGGAGTGACCCGAGCCCAGAGCCTGGGGTGTTCATAACTGCACCCACCAAAGCCCCCAAACCTGAATATTCTAGCCCTTGCCCTGATTCAGCCTGGCTCCGGCCAGTTTTGAACTCGGTGTTTCTGCCCAACTGTCTTGCCCCTGCAGACGGAGAACCTCACCTGGTGGACCCTGGCTCCAGGCCTGGCCTCAGGAGCCAAAGCAGGTACACGGTGGGCTCAGCTCCCTCCCTCCCTCTGGTTCCGGGGCAGGTGCTGCAGGCTCAGGTGCCCCATGATGCCCTCCCCCCTCCCCAGGGGACGGCCAGACATCTCCAAGACATGCTTTCTGGGCGCGAGTCTGCGGCCTGCAAGCCATCCTCCTCATGTGTGTGAACGTGTTCTTCTATGCCTACTTCGCCTGACACTGCCTGTGTGGGTGGACAGGGGTGCGCCATGACCCCCTCACAGCCTAGGGTGCTGGGTCCAGGCCTGGCCGAAGGGAAAGGCAGGAGCCCGTGAAATGAAGGGCTTGAAGAGAGCAAGCAACAGATTTCTGAAACAATTACAAAGTAACTGTACTGGCAAAGAAAATTCCACTTCTGAATCGCTTCTATCTGTCCTTCTGCTGGTTTTATTCCGAATATTTGGTCAGGAGCAACTGTGGCCTGCCAAGCCTGGTCTTCCTGCTCTCTGGTCAGTTCTGGGGGGCAGGATGCCCAGCTCCTGACCCTGCACCAGGGGTTGCCCACCCCGTTCTGGACATGACTGACCTCCCTAACTTCCCCCGTACCCTGCAGTGCCCACAGGCCCTGGGGCCCAGAGTGGGCAGAACCTGGGTCTGACCAAGCTAGGGTGGACAGAGCAGGGCTTCCTGGGCCATGCCCTAGGCCTGCCCCTGGGGCCTGTCTGCCCCCAGCCCAGAGAGAGGAGCCTCCCTGCCCTTCCCCCGGGCCTCCGGATGCTCCCCGAGAATCTGTGAGGGGGCGGGGGGGGGGGCTGAATAACCCACACAGTGGGGCTGCGGAAGTCAGGGTGTCCCTTGAGTCTGCCCATTGAGTCCGGGGTCACAGGTGTTGCCCCTCAGCACTAAGCTCTCTCCCCAAGGGGCAGAGAGAGTGCAGGGGTGTTGGCAAGAACAGAGGCAGCCCAGTGGGTGCCCAGCCACGGGGTCCCGCCCCTGAGTCCTCCAGCTCTGGGTCGAGTGGAGCCCATGGCGGGTGAGTTTCCGGTGGAGGGAGGGTCCAGGTCAAAAGCAAGGAGGCTCCACAGGAAGCCCAAACCTCACACAGCTGGTGGGGCTCATCAGGGGAAGCTGTTGGGGTCACGTTCCAGTGTAGTGCTGACCAGCAGGGGTCCAGGTCTGCCTCTGGCCCCGGTGGCCGGCTGAGTGTCACAGTTGCACAGGATGGACGTAGCTGCGTGGGAAGAAGCCGAGGTGCCCGGCCAGCCGGCCGCGCCACCAGTGGGGGTCTGGGCGCTCCAGGACCTCGATGATGTCGCCACGGCGGAAGCTGAGCTGCGAGGGGTCCTGGGCTGAGAAGTCGAACTGGGCCTGGGCGAAGTGGGCCTGGGGTGGCTGCATGGAGGAGAGGAGTGGGCCTGAGGCCGCGGCCAGAGCAGGAGGGGTGCCACGGGTCCAGTCAACGACTGAGGCTACCACTGCTTCTCACAGGAGCCCCCTGTGTCCAGCAGGCCCGTGCCCACGTGGCACAGCTCTGTCTGGGCTTCCCGGCCGGGCCCCAGGGCAGAGTCAGGGTGGGGGGGGCCTCCTCGCCAGCCCCCTCAGTTCTCTGCCCATGGTCACGCTCCTTAACCCTGTAGGACCAGCCCCCAGGAACAAGCCTGGAGCCCACAGCTGGAGGAGCTCAGAGCTCTGGGTGCAACGGCCCCCCTGAGGTGTGGAGGTTTGGAGGGAGCCCTCATCCCTTAGAGCAGCTTACAGCTCTGAGGCTGGGCCCCCGGGCCCAGAAGTGCATCGAGGTTATCGGGCTGGGTCCTGTCCTTGGTGGACTCAGTCTCCCCCCAGTGAGCAGCTGCTGGACAGGAGCTTCTGCGGGCACGTCGCCCCGGCGCCTTGGCGACCAGGCTCGGTGAGATCTCCGCTCGCAGCCCCAGAGTCTTACCGGGCCGGCGATAGGATCGGCGGACGGCTATAATTAGCGGCTCTCTGCCCAGGAAGGAGGAGGCGGCATGGGTCCCAGGGACCGAGCCAGATCTGGAGTCACCCCATGGTGTGGGGGCCCCGGGGCAGAGGCCAGAGGGAGGTGCTGGGTGTGGGGAACCCCCAAACAGCCCCAGCTCCTGCTGGCTCTCATGCACTCCGGGCCAGGGCTGGCTCAGGCAGCAAGGTCAAGGGCATAGGGGGTGCTGGGAGAAGTATCCTCAGACAGAGAGACCCTGCCAGGCTAAGGAGGGTGAGTGTCCAAATGGGGGTCTTTGGAGGGGCCGCGCCAGGTCAGAGCTTGGCCTATGGCACACAAGGAAACTGAGGCGCAGCTGAAGGGTGACCTGACCCTAAAATCACATGCGACAGGTGGCAGGGTCAAGAAGCAGCGGGAGGGGGTGTCTGCACCCCACCCAGGCCTTGGTCAAGGCTGTGTCCCCCAAGCCCCTGGGCTGTGCCAGGGTCCTGACCTCCTCCAGTCCCATCCCTTGCGACACTCTTCTCTGGAGGAAAATAGCACATCGGGCCTAATAACCCCGCCGGCAGGTGTCGTCACCTAATGAGCGAGAGCTGCTGGCTCCAGCCCTGGATGAAAGGGCAGGCTGGCAAATTGCTGTTATTGTGAGGACAAGGGGCCGGTGGACCCTCCCTCTCACAGGCCAGCCGCACCCATGACCCCGCCCCCACCCAGACACCTCCCGCCCCCTCCCAGGTCCCCAGCTGTGCAGTAGGCATAGGGAGCCCAGGAGCAACTGCTGGTCAGGCATGGCCTTCAGACTCAGGACAGGCGGACTCGGTGGCTTGGTGGGGTCTGCACCCAACCCTGCCCTCCCTCTCGCGCCCTCCCACCTCTGTGCCCACCCCCTGTACCTTGATCAGGGGCTCCTCGTCTTGCAGGAAGATCTGTCGCTTCTTGGCAATACTAGTGGTGCGGTAGAAATCCACCAGCTCATTGAGGGAGTTGAACTTCTCCTCCCACAGGAAGTACTTCCCCGAGGCCTCGCGTAGCACCTTAAAGTGCTGGACCTGGTCCCCGTAGCTAGGACAGAGGCCAGGGAGCCTCAGAGGGGCCCATGGGGATGAGCCTCAGCCCGGTCCAGCCCCAGGCCCTCCTCACTCTCCTCCTCCAGAGAGACCTGGTGAGGTAGGTCCACCCGACTCCACCTCAGACCTGGTGGCCCACCCAGAGGGGGCGCAGGCCCTGGGCCAGGCCTTCCCTCTCCTTCAGAGGGAGTTGGGGGGCTGGGGCCACACCCGGTGGTGCTCAGGACTCAATCCTGGCTCGGGACTCAGGAATTAGTCCTGGTGGTGCTCAAGGGACCATGTTGGGTGCTGGGTATCGAACCCAGTCTGGCCACATGCAAGGCAAACGCCCTTCCCGCTGTGCTATCTTTCAGGCCCTTGGTTCACGGATTCCGAGTGTGCTTCTTAGAGCTCACTCCCAGCTGGGCGTGGCCGGGCTCTGAGGGCCTGGTGGTCCAGTGCCTGGGCCCTGTGCTGCTGGGGGCCTCCAATGTTCTGGGGAAACCATGCAGTGTCAGGGTCCAACTCAGGATACAGAGTACACCATTTCTTCAAGCTTGTTCTCATTTTTATCCCTAGCCCCTTATTCTCATTTCCCCCCTTTTTGTTTGTTTGTTTGCCACACCTGTCAGTCTCCAGGCCTTACTTCCGGCTCTGCACTCAGGGATCACCCCTGCAGTGCTCAGGAGACCATGTGGGTTGCTGGGGATTGAACCCTGGTGGACCACATGTACGGCAAGCGCTTTACCTGCGGTACTATCTCACTGGTCTCCCGTGTGCAGGACTGAGCTGCAAGATCAAGGCGTGTCAAGGTGGCCGGCCTCAGGGCTCATTGTGTGAGGAGCGGATCAGGGGTCCAGGCCACACAGAGCCTCTCTCTTTCCATTTCCAAATGCACCTCTTGGTCTTTACATACACAAGTTCATCCAATTTTCCCTTGAGCCAAATTCCTCCTCACGCGTCAAGGCCCAGGTGGAATGACCCATCCGCCCAGTGCGGCCTCAGACCCTACCCTCAGAGTCACAAGTTTTCTTGGGTGTCTTGGCTCCTCAGACCACCTCCCTGCTTGGAGAGGTGGACACTGGACAGGCAGCGATGCAGAGATCCTGAGAGTCTAGCCCAGCCAGAAGGGGCAGAACAAGGGCCCAGGCCTGAAGTGCCCCTGCGGGTAGCCTTAACCCTCTCCAGCGGCTCTGACCTGGGCTTCCTGTCCGGAACCAACCCCGGGGTCTCTCAGATGCAGCGAGTTGGGGACAGCTCAGCACTGGCCAGAGCAGGAGGGCCAGGAAGCGGCCCTGGCGGTGACCAGGTGGAGCCTGACTTCTCACAGTCGAGACAAAGCGCCTGTGTGCCGTCAGCATGCATTGTTCCCAGGTGACTAAGAGGCGTGTGTGGACGGCGAGGGACATGTGTGTGCCCATGTGCCTGGGTCAGAGGAGCAGCCCGGGCTGCCCGCCCCGTCTGGCCGCTGTGCGCAGCAGGCCCTGGAGCCCTGCTCTGGGCGCGGACATGAGGAGCTGGGAGGAGGGCCTGAGAGCGGGGCAGGAGGGAAGGTGCAGGCCAGGCTCGGAGTCCCGATGGCCCCCTTCTGAGGCGGAGTCTGTGGGGTTTGAAGCTTGCTGGAAGCTGTCTGCAAGTTTGTCCAGAGGCAAACGTTCCCTGATGGCACAAGGCCAGGCAGCAGAGGCCGGACAGTGGTGGAAGGGGTTAGGGACAGGGAACTCTAGGGGCTTCTCCGTCTGGAAACTGGCTTCATTCCGAGAGTTCAGCAGAAGGCGGGCCCTGTCCCTTTGCCCTGTCCTTTCTCCCTGTCTCTCCCAAGGTGCAGGCAGGGGGGCCACAGCGGGGCCACACCTGCCCCAGCACGACTGCCTGCTGCTGCGTGGGGCCGGGCGAAGCCTGCCTCCTGGGCCCCACCTGTCTGACGACCCTGTCCCCCGCCCCCCTGCGCTCACCCAGGACTTTCCCTTCTGCCTTCACCATCCTCCAGGCCTGCGTGGAGGCATCTGGGAGCCCCTTAATCCAGGAGGGGCCCCGGGAGCTCTCAGAGCCGACCTTTCCCCATGCCAGGAAACTCAGGACCCTCTGGGGAGTTGTGGGGAGACTCCAGCCCCGAGTGCTGGGCCAGAGGGCAGGGATGGGCACAATGCTGTGTGCCTGCGTATGTCTGTGTGTGACTGTGTGTGTGTGTGTGTCTGTGTGAGACCCTGTGTTTGACAGTGTATGTCTGTGTCTATCTCTGTGTGGGTCTGTGTGTCTGTGTATACATCTGTGAGTGTATGTGTATGTGTATGTGAGTGTATGTGTCTCTGTGTGTCTGTGTGTATGTCTGTGTGTGACTGTGTATCTGTCTTTGTGTCACTGTGTTTATGTGTGTCTGTGTGTGTTTGTGTGAGACCCTAAGTCTGACTGTATGTGATTCTGTGTGTCTCTGTGTGGGTCTGTGTGCCTATGTGTGAATGTATATGTGTGTACGTGTCTGTCTGTGTGTGTGTTTGTGTGTGATTGTGTGTGTTTGCGTGCATCTGTGTATGCCTGTGTGTGTGTCTCTGTGTGTGTCTCTGTGTGTGTGTGTCTATGTCTGAGTTTGCCTGTGTGAAACCCTGCCACTGACTGTGATTGTGTGTGTGTGTCTGTGTGTGTCTGTGTATGTGCCTGTGTGTGATTGCGTAGGTGTCTCTGTGTGCCTGTGTAGGTGCCTCTGTGTGCCTGTGTGTGTCTGTGAGTGTGTCTTTGTGTCTGTGTGCAGCCCGGTCTCCCTGTGTGTGCCATGTGTGTCTCCATCACGTCTATGGTGGCACGTGTCTCCTTCAGGCTCTGTGGGGTGTGTGTGGTGGCTCCTCTCTGAGAAGACATGGGTGTGTTTGTGTGCGACCCCAGACCCACCTCCCAGGGAGACGAGTGGCCAGGCCAGCCCTGGGCCCAGAAAAGCCCCAAGGACCAAGTTAGGCCGATTCGGAGCAGCTGGGCCCGCCTGGCAGGTTTTTCTGGCCTGGTGGTGGCAGCAGCAAGGGTGACAGTGGCAGCTAGAGAGGCTAAACGGGGCTGGGTGAGGTCAGGCTGGGACCCCCAGCAAGGGCCTGCCTGCTGTCTGTGGACCATCTCGGTAGACATGACCCTCCTAGAGCTTCAGTTTTCCCTTCTGTGAAATGGGGATGCAGCAGTCGTAAAACAGAACCAGATTTTCCATTGGTGACAGAGAAAGTGGGGGCTGGGAGACCAGGGGTGTCAGGCGCAGTCAGTGGACACCAGCTCAATAATTCCTTGCTGTGTGACCTTGAGCAAGTTACTGCACCTCTCTGAGCTTTGGTTTCCTTACCTGCAAATGAAGCTTTAGGGGCTTACTTCTTCCCTGTCTCTGCACGTAACTACTCTCTGCCTGCCTGAAACAGCACCCCATCTTTTCCCTGCATTACTTTCCCCAAAGCCTTAATCATCTAAACTTTTTTCCTCTGTGTGTCTGTGTGTGTGTGTGTTTATTGAGGTTGGGGGCCACACCCAGCTGTGCTCAGGGCTTACTCCTGGCACATGCAGTGCTGGAGACCAATCTGGAGTCGGCGACATGCCAGGCAAGTGCCTTGGCTCCTGGGTCATTTCTCCCGCCTTTCTTGTTTGATTTTGTTTGCTTTTGGTGGTGCTGGGGATCAAGTCCAGGGCTTCACACACTTAAGGCAAGTGTTCTACCGGGAGCTTCGTCTGTCCCTGGCCCTTCATCTTCTAAGACTTAATATAATTTACTAACAATGTGTTGTCAGGCACCCCAGGAAAAGTGAAACTCTTGAAGTGCCTGGAGATGGCTCTGGCCCTGCGCCTGCCCGGACGCTGTAAGGCCTCCTGTCTGCACCTGGCACTGCCCACGGTGCTGAGCACGGCGCTGGCGACTCTGCTGTCTGGGACCTGCACCACCAGCAAGTTCCTGACATACACCAGGCGTGTGCTAGCTCTGCCACGGAAGGGGACACGTGCACTCACAGGGTCAGGAAGTGCAACTGGGAGCATACATGTGGGCACCGCAGGGCTGAGGAGCACCATACAGGACCCGGGCAGGAGCCTCAACTCAGCACCCAGCTGGCCACACATCAAGAGAGGGACCGCACAGGGGCCGTGGAGACACAGCAGGGAGGGCACTCGCCTTGCATGGGGCAGACCCACGTTCAATCCCTGGCACCACATATGGTTCCCTAAGCGCACCAGAAGTGATCCCTGAGCACAAAACCAGGAGTAAACCAGGAGCACTGCCAGGTATAACAAAATCAAAACAGGAGAAAACAAAAAAAAGCAGGTGCAGATGGTGGTGGGGGGGTGGGGGGAGCGTTGGGGACAAAATGAACTCCTAAAGGACAAGGGGCTCTGTGCTATTTTCAACTCCCCAGACCCCAGGACAAGCCCTGGCGAACAATCAGTGCCAGGACTGAGGGTTGCACCAGGAACCCTAGGGCGGCCCCTGGTCTGAATGGAAGCAAACATTTGGTTTGGGAGTTCACTGTCATTTACGAGGGGAGTCTCGCAAAGCCTGGACAGGGCCAAAGCTACAGAGCAGATTGCATCTCAAACCTTGGCTCCCAGCCCGCGGGCCGCCAGCTCCCATGAACTTCTGGAGGAAGAGGGGAGCAGCCCTTTGTAAACTCATAAAGGACAGCCAGCCGTGGTCACTATCTCTGCGTGAGGCAGGACCGGCCCATTAACCCCACCTCTGACAACTTTATGGGGCTTGCCATGGGCGTGAGGGGATGCCACGCGTCGTGGTCAGAGGCCCCAAGAATCAAGCCAGTGAGGGCGGAAGTGCACTCACGCTGCTCTGCGGCAGCTGGCCCGCGGCTCTGAGCCTGGTGGTGTGCCCACAGCGCAGCTGAGAGAGAGCTGGTGACCGCCACAGCCGGTCCCGGAAACGTTGGGTGGGAACCAGATTCTTTGCTAGCCTGCCACTGCCCTCTCTGATACCCCAGATCCAAGAGAAAGGAGGTCCCTAAGCTCCTCCCTCTGAGCACGGTTAGGTCCCTGAAGGTTTCCTTGAATGCTAATTACTCTGGTATTTACTGAACACTTTCTGCATGCCAGGCCTCCTGCTGACCACTCACACAGAAGCTCTTTTTATAATCCAGAACAAGGTGACTTGCTTGGGGCTAAAGAGCTAGCAGGCGGCAGAGCCAAGATTCTTTTTCAGAAGCTCACATTTCTAGCCACACAGTTTCTTTTTTCTTAAAAAATGTTAAAAAAAAAGCTAAGTTTCCTCCTCCTGTCCCTGCTGATGGTCCTTCAAGGACCCTGAAGGACCCCAAGAAATATGATGGATCTGGAGAGGAACAAACAGGACACGTGGAACAGGTGGGGAGACACGGAGGGTGAAGGGCGCCACCTGGTGGAACAGTGCCAAAACCGCAGCTAGAGGACCGCGAAGCGTTCTTCCCCTGGGGAACTGGGCCAGGAGGTCTTGCAGGGGGCACATGCCAGGGTTTTTCTGAGGGAGGTTTCCAGAACAATATCCGAGCTTCCGCACAGCTCAAAAACTGTTCTCCAGGGGCTGGGCAGAGCACATGCCTAGTATGCATGAGGCCAATCCCTGATTCTACATGGATGGCCACCTGAGTACGGCCATGTGGCTCCTGGTGGCCCCCTGCCCCCCTGAGCGGCACTGCATCGCCAGGATGGAGCACAGAACTGTCAGTTCACACCACCAGCTTGAGCATGAGTTGTGCTGGAAGTGACCCTGGGCTCCCTGAACCTTATAGGAAAGAAAGAAGACAAAGACCCAGTCCCAGTACTGCTCAGTGCCAGCCCCACCCCTCAGACTGCACCCAGGTGCTACTGGGCAGAGGCCACCCAGTTCCAGCTCAGGAGTCTCCTTCATTGTGGGATCTATCCACTGCCATCAAATTTTTTAAATCTTTATTTATTTGTTTTGGGGCTGGAGCGATAGCACAGCGGGTAGGGCGTTTGCCTTGCACGCGGCCGACTCGGGTTTGATTCCTCTGTTCCTCTCAGAGAGCCTGGCAAGCTATCAAGAGTATCATCCCGCCCGCAAGGCAGAGCCTAGCAAGCTCCCTGTGGCGTATTCGATATGCCAAAAACAGTAGCAACAAGTCTCACAATGGAGATGTTACTGGTGCCCGATCGAGCAAATCGATGAACAACGGGAGGACAGTGCTACAGTTGGTTGTGGGACCACATCATGGTGCTCCAGGCTCACTCCTGGCAGTGAGTGACCTCATGGGATGCGGGGATCAAATCAGGGTCTGCCGTGCCCCGTAACCCCCTGTCTATCTCTCCACTCACCCCTCATGGAGAACCCTGGGTCAGCCAAGTCTGCTTCCCCACAGCCCTTCTTGGGCGGGACCCCTGGCTCTGCCTGTTCTGGGGTTCACACGGTGCAGAGTTGAGATGTTTGCATGAACCCGAGTCTGCACCCGGGGAGCTGCGATGACTCGAGCTCCCAGCAGAGGGCAGTGTGCAGAAGCACCACCTTGGCCGTGCAGGCGCAGCGATTCCTTAGGCCTGGGCTTGTCTGGGGAAGGGCGGGCCTCCCCTCAGCTCAGGCTCCAGAACCACCCAGTGACTTCGCTGGGTCTCCTGCTTTGCTAGGTGACCTTGGACTGCGGGGAGCCCCGAGCCAGACAAGCCCGCCTGGCAGGCGCCATTCCCAGGAGGTGACCAGGCCCCAGCGCTTGGAAAGCCGCCCACATCCTGCTTTTGCAGGGAGCAGGGTGGTGGGGGCTGGGCCGTGTGCATGGTTGGGGCGGGGGTGGGGAGTGGGGGGGCGAGACTGTCCCATGGAGGGGAGTCAGCCCGCCAACACTCCGGCTGACAGTGCTCCCATTTTTCAGAGAGGAAATTGGAGCCTCTCTCGCTCGCTAGGGATCACGGGCTGCTCCTGGGGAGATGAACAAGGCACAGTTCTGCCCAGGGTGGGGTGTGGCAGGAGTGCTGGCCCCTCAGGGTGCTGGATCCCTTTACCCCTCCTCCTAGCAGCCCCCCATTCCCAGGGGAGTGCGCCTCGCATGGTCCAGGGGCTGCGCCAGTCCGGCCACCCCAGCACTGGGCACTGCGGCCCCTGGTAACTGGGAAAGGTCAGCCCGAGCTGCTGTCCAGGTCTCTGCCTCCTGGTGTCCTCACCCCTTGGCCACCTGTGTGTCCTGGCACCAGCCTGTTCCAGGGTCGTCGCCTACTGCTGCCCGCCTGGCCGTTTGGGATAGGTCAGCAGGCCAGACGGTCCCGTTTTGACCAGCCCACTTCAATGCCAGGCATCTAGCCGCTCTTTGCCCAGCTGGAGAGATGGCACAGACACTAACACACTTGCTTGCATGTGGCTGCGGCCATGGCATGGTTTGACTCTCCACCACCTAAGGTGCCCCAAGCACAGAGCCAGTAGAGGCCTCAGAGCGGGTACAGATGGCGCCTCCCCCACTTGTTCCTTGTAATAAGCCCTTCACCACAATTGGAAACGGGCACAGAGAGACTAAGTGACTTGCCCAAGGTCACACAGTTCTGAGGGGCTGCCCTCAGGATCTGTCCATTCCACTGCACCACCAGGGTACGACGGGCCTGCTCAAGCCACAGACACGGTCTTGGGTGCCCCGACACTCCCCACCCACAGAACCCCAGCATCTGGGTGGTGGCCTCTTCTCCCCACCCACAGAACCCCAGCATCTGGGTGGTGACAGGTGTCAGGTACTGTGCAGGGCATCTGGGGCCTGGCTCTTCCCTGCTCTGGGCTGTGTCCGCCTGAGTGCGGGTCCTCTGCACACCTGCCCCTCCCTCCATGCCCTCGCCCCCTGGATTAGAACTCACTTCACAGAGACCGAGAACTCCCCCGGCGCGCTCTCGCTCTCCCGGATCAGGAAGGCTCCCAGGCGGTTCCGCTTCATCAGGGTGTCCTCGGCCAGCTGGCGGGAGATGCGCCCCGAGTACCAGCTGTGGAAAGGGGTCTGAGCGTGGGCCTGCTGGGGCCAGCCCCAGGGACCGAGGCCTCGCTGGGCACGGTGGGACGGAGCAGTGCCCTCCTGCAGGGGCACGGACACGAGGTGCTGCTGGCGGGACCCCCCACCTCTGCCCAGGACTCAGGCTCGGCCTGGCCGAATGGGTAGACTGAGGCTCGGTGAGGCCGTGGCGAGGGTGATAGGGCTCCCCCAGCAAGTGTCTCTAAGTGCGGGTAGCGGGGGACGTCCCTGTGTCTCAGGGGGCCGGGTTCTGCCCAGCCTCCACCCTGTGCCAGACCCCCCTGCCCGCACGGTGCCTGGGCCGGGAACCTCTGACCGGAAGGAGCAGCGGACAGAGAGTGCCCGCAGCACCCCACGGTCACTGCCGGAGCGGGCGGGCAGCGTAGCCAGGCCTGGGGATCTGCACGCTCGGGCATAAGATGGACGCTCCAGCCCAGAGCTGGGACTGGAGGCAGGCAGGGCGTGGGTGCAGGTGCAGGGCCCTGGGGTGTTTCCTGGAAGCGGGGGTCTCCGAAGAACCCAGAGCCGCTGAGGGCGGGTGGGCCCCACAGACTGCAGCTGCCCCCTGGGTGCCCGTCCTGTCCGGTGCCCCGAACCAGGCTTCCCCGCCAGCCCCACGCGGCCTTCACCACGCCCGTACTCCTGCTGTGCCTAGTGAGGGGCAGTCCCGGGAAGGTGGCACAGAAGCTCAGACTCCCATGGGGTCCCAGGGGAGCCGGGCAGAGCCCACCTGCATTCTCCTGTGCACTCTGCTCAGCTCTCCCTCCCCACCCGCACCCCTGCACCCCTGCCTGCCCCTCTCAGAGTTGCTGCCACCCCACCCCCACCCCACAGCTTCTGCTCTGACTTTAGGCCCTTCCTCGGCCACTTCCACCTGGTCAGCAGGTGGGCTGAGGCTGGTGGTGAGGTCACTAGGTCTGTGGGGGCCACAGTGGGGCTCTGCTGGCATGGGGTTGAGGGCAGTTACGAAGACTGACCTCGACTCCCCCCTCACACCCCTGAGGTGGGGCTGAGTGGCCTGTGCCGGGGAGGCTGTCGGGCTCCAGAGGCTGATGTCTGCACCCAACTGCCCTGAGACCACTGCCAGCAGTAGGTGCCTGACCCAGGCCCTCCTCCTTGGGCTCAGCAGCCACTGACCAGATATTCTGGCTTTGCAGGCCCGTTTCAGAAGCTCAGCCCTGGCCTGTGTGCAGGGGCGGTGGCCCTTGCCCATCAGATATCTGGCCCGGATCGTGCATCTTCTCTCTCCTCACATCCCCTTTGAGGACACTCTTGGCCAAAGGCCACACCCCTCTATCCAATGCACCCCTGTCCAGAGGGACATGCAGGGTCAGGACCCTGGGGTGGGGGCAGGTTGGCTACAGGAACCCCCTGGGAAGGGACCTTGCCTGGCACAGGAAGTGGCGGTGGTGGCGGCTTTGGAAACCACTCGAAGAGGAAATACCCCCCAGGCCCTGCCAGCCCCACCTCCCTTCTCTCTATGCTGCCAGGAGGGCTCAAAGCCCGTCCCTCCAGTCTGCTGGCCTGTCCCCTGCGTCCCCATCTGATGGAGCCTCTTCCCTACTCAGACTACCCTGGACCTAGCATCTGAGCCTCCCACTGCCATAGGCTCTTGGCTCACCTTGGCCCCTCTTCCAGGATGCCATTCTCATTTGCTGCTTAGCTAACTCCTACACATGCTTCAAAGCTTCATACCTTGCCACCTCTTCTGAGAAGCCCTCCCAGTTCATCATCTCACTCCTGTCTAGTTTATTCTCTGTCTCTGCCCCAGGGCAGGCTGCTTTGACCCCAGCATTGTACGCTTGTGCTCCCAGCATCACCCAGCCTGCCCCTGGGGCTGTGGCCAGCCTCTGGTGAATGATTGCTTAGGGACTATCTTGTTTATCATTTCCAGTCTGTCTGCTCGGTTTCCTCATTTCTCGGGCACCCTGTCCCTGACTCTGCTCAGCCAGTATCCACTCTCCCCTGCGGCCCTCAGACAAGGCCTGCTTCCTGTCCACCCCTCCACAGACTCCCGGTTTCCTCCCTCGCACCCCCTTCTCATACAGCACTGAGCCAGACTCTTATTCTCTTGGTTTTCAGAAATGAAAAATGAGAAGTAGAAGATGCAGGGCCTGCCAGAGGCCACATGGCAGCCTCCCCAGCACCCCACACCCAGCCTCTGTGCCCTCTGCCTTCTACCCTGCCACCACATCAGGCAAGTTCTCACATTTCCACCCCCTGGTCCTGGTGGGGCCCAGTGGGATGGATCCTGGGAGCACCCTGCCTTGCGAGAGCTTGTTCCACTCTACAGTCCCAAGTTGGTCTCTAAGCAATCATTCACCAAAAGCTCGATGGGGGGGGGGGGGGGCACCGAGCTGGGGGGAGGCGGGGGCATCTTGAGGACTCAAGGTCACTCACGGGTGTGGCTTGACCCGGATGTAGTTCTTTGGAATAAATCCCTCAGCACCCCGGAGCTCAGCCTTGTACCAGTTCTGATCGTCTTCCATGTTCAAGATCTGTGGGTGGGAGAGATAGGCCACGAGTCACCAGGAGCTGTCACCTGCTGAGACCCTGCCCCAGGGCCCTGGGCTGGGGGTACACCAGCACCAGCCATGGGGTTATTTCTCAGAGGAGGGCTGGGGTCGGGTGGATGGGGCTGAGCCCCTGAGAGGGGGCTCCTCTCCCTCCCCCCCCCGCCCCCGCACACCATGTGCTGAGCCGGCAGAGAAGGTCTGAGAGGCCCTGGGGTAGGCGGGAAGCCACAGCAGAGCTCAGCACCTGAGGTGTTGCTGGTGTGCGGACAGTCATCACTCCTCATAGTCCTAAGGCAAGGTCATTCGGGATGTGTTGGGGGTGGAGGGGGTGCCCTTGGGGTGCTCAGGTCACAGACTCCGCTCCCAGGGCTGAGAGGATCTGCTGCAGGTGGGCAGTGAGCACGAGCTCCCCTTTCCCTCCCCTTGATTCTCACGCCCAGGCTCTCAGAGCTCCATCCCAGGAGAACAGATTAGGGACAGCGAAGGGGCTGGAACCACACAGCAGAGAGCAGCCAAGCGTGGGGCGGGGGGCGAGGCTCCCTGGGGGACCTTGGACACCGAATTTTATCCCCACCTCACTTTGTGTCTGGAAAGGGGCCCTCTCCTGTCAGCCCTGGGCAGGTTGTGACGGGACACCCCCAGGTAGGGCTGGCCTGCGGCAGCCAATGTGGACTCAGATGCTAGATTTGCAGGAGGAGCTGGAATTCGCTCTCTCAGCCCAGGCTTGAGGTCCTATTCCTGACCCCAAAGGTGAAGTCAGCAAGAGCAAACAGCTTATATAGAAAAAATTTTTTTCTCTTTTTGGGTCACACCCAGTGATGCTCAGGGGTTACTCCTAGCTTTGCACTCAGGAATTACTCCTGGCGGTGCTCAGGGGACCATATGGGATGCTGGGAATCAAAACCGGGTCGGCCGCAAACAAGGCAAACGCCCTACCCGCTGTGCTATCACTCCAGCCCTTTATATAGAAATTTTTTTGCTGCAAACAAAGCAGAAATTTGGAGCCGGGGATATAGCTCGGTGCATTTACTTTGCATGTAGTATTGTAGCACTGTCCTGGTAGCACTGTCCTCCCGTTGTTCATCGATTTGCTCGAGCGGACCCAGCAATGTCTCCATTGTGAGACTTGTTGTTACTGTATTTGGTATATCCAATATATCACGGGTGGCTTGCCAGGCTTTGCCGTGCGGGCAAGATACTCTCAGTTGCTTGCCAGGATCTCCGAGAGGGGCGGAGGAATTGAACCCAGGTTGGCCGGGCTGACCGAATGCAAGGCAAACGCCCTACCACTGTGCTACTTTGCATGTACCACTCAAAAAATAACATAACAGAAATGTATAATTCCCCCAGCATGATGAGAAAATTCAGGCCTGTAGGCCACCCTCCACAAACACAGATTGAATCCAGATCCTTGCTGTCTGGGGCTCTCGGTACTCTCTCTTGGACTGTTGCTATGGTTTTATCCTCGGCTTCCCTGTCTGTGAAATGGGCACATTTGGCACCTACACTGCATGTGGTCCAACCGGGCGGACTAAAATTCCTCATAAATCAGAGACAGTAAGGTGTTCAGCGTAACCCCAGCTTGGCTTTGCTTTCCTGTGGTCTCTGCTTCACAGGCCCAGAAATATTCTTGTGGGTCCCCCAGAGGGAATACACAGTATTTGCACTGACGCCCTCCCTAAGGGGAGAGACCAGCTCCTTCCTGGTGAAACACAGTCCTGGGCTATCCCTGAGACCGTCCCCAGCACGTCCTCCAGCCAGGGTCCTCTTGGACCTCACTGTTCCCTGGGAGCCACCCCTGGAGCTCACAGTCAGTGGGCAGGGGCGGCCCAGGGACGTAGAAGGAAACAAAGGATGGTTGCGGTCTCACCTAGTGCTGAGTGCTCAGGAAGACAAACATGAGTCACGGGCGGGGAGATTAAACATCATTAAAATGTCTGCTTAGGTAGGGCCTAAAGCAACCAACAGATGGAGGAGATCCTATCAGAATCTCAGTGCAGTTTTCTTTTCTTTTCCTTTCTCCCCATTGGTGTTTTGGACATAAGCAGCAGTGCACAGGCTACTCTCGGCTCTGGGAGAGTGATGCTCCCGCTGGAGCTTGGGGACCAGGGGATGTGGTGCAGGCTGGAACCTGGGCCTCTGCATGCAGAACGCAGACCCTGTCTGTTGAGCAAGCTCTCCACCCCCACGCATTTTTCCAAGGAAATAAATAGAACAAACAATTCTAAAAAAAATTATGGAACCCAAAAGACCCCCAGAAGCCCAAGAAATTCTGAGATTTAAAAAGAAAAATGAAGGGGCTGGAGCGATAACACAATGGGTAGAGCGTTTGCCTTGCACGCGGCCAACCCGGGTTCGATTCCCAGCATCCCATATGGTCCTTTGAGAACTTCCAGGAGTAATTCCTGAGTGCAGAGCTAGGGGTAACTCCTGTGCATTGCTGGGTGTGACCCAAAAAGCAAAAAAAAAAAAAAGAAGAAGAAAAATGAAGACATCAGACTCTCTGGCTGAGGCTGTAACAAAACAACAGTAATTAAAACTTTAATATTAATTATGCTGGGCAGAAGCAATAGTACAGTGGGTAAGCCTTACCACACACAAATGGCCCCCAGACACGTGAAAAAAAAAAAGATCAACATAACTTATTAAGAAAATGCAAATCAAAACCACAATGAGATGTTACCTCAACCAGCCTACATCAAAAAGACCAGAAGCACCGACTGGAGTGACTCTAAAACCAAAAGTCAAGAAAAGAGAGAAAGGAGGGAAGGAAGGAAGAAAGAAAGAAAGAAAGAAAGAAAGAAAGCTAGAAACAGCGAGGATTGATAAAGATGGGAAGAAAATGGAACACAGAAACTCAGGTTCTGTGGTGGGGAATCAAATCAGCACAACTGCTCTAGAAATGGCCTGAAGCGACCTCTAATAAAGAAAACTATCTACTAACATCACAGTACCATTGATACCTCTCCCAGGCATTTACCCATATGAAGCACACGAAAACTGTAAGTTGAAAAAATATTTATGCCTGTGGCATTATTCACAACAGCCAGAACATGGACTCAATCAAAACGCCCATCCACAGATGACTGGGTAAAGCACCACACACAGCAGCACCCAAGGGAACATAGGACCATTAGACTTTCAGGACCAAATGGATCTCAACTTCTGCTGAGTGAAATTACTAAGGAAGTGAAAGACAATTAGCAGAGATCCACATGGAATATAAATAACTAAGGCAAATGAGCTGCAAAAAGACTAACAAAACTCCCTCATAGATTCAGTGAAAACTGTGGTGCTTTGAAGACGGAAAAGGAAGTAGGGGTGGGAGGAACGGGGACAGGGTGGGGGGGAGGGTCTTTTTGGTGACTCAAGGGCACTGGGACTTCGTTAGTGGGTACTGTGTGTCCTGTTCGCAGACAGAGGGTACTGAGATACTGGGTTCTGTGTGTCCTATACACATGTATATGGAAACCATTCTATTCTTTAAATTCTATTAGGAATAGAATAAATTTCACTGATAAATCAGTGAAAACAAAACACCAAAATAAAAATAAAAACCAACTCATCAGAATGGCACGAATGGAAGATGGTTAATGGAATGAAGATGTTTAATGTCCAGAAACTCAGGAATCGTGACGAATGACACCTTAAGGCAACATGTGAAGGAAATTGAATTACAGGCTACTCTCCAAGCCCGTGCTCGCCCTTGAACATGAATCTCACTTGCTTGTCTTGATACTTCGTTGCTTGCCAATTTCCAGCCCAGAGAAGCCTGTGTTCTCTCTTAAAATTTACTTCTCCCTCTCTATTACCTCACATCTTCCTAATAAGTTTCAATAAAAACTTTCTTCCTTCACCAAAAATATAAAAAATAAAATAAAAAGAAAGAAAGAAATCAAATTAACACAAATGCTCTGAATTTGGGCTAATAAAGATCCATCAGTGCCGCTGCCTTGGTCACACATGTCGGGTGTGAATGGCATTCCCAGACGCAGGAGCTGAGGTTCCCCTGGCAGGTTTGGTGTCTTGGGATGAGCTGAGTGGAGGGGCTCTGTCTGCAGGTGTGCCCCTGTGTTCTGCTTTCTGCCACTGGGTGCTGTGAGCACTGCCCACAGGGCTGGAAAGATAGCCCAGTGGGAAGGCACCTGCCTTGCATGGATCCAACCCTGGTTCCATCTCCAGAACACCATACAGTCCCTGAACACCCCCAGGGATGATCCCTGGGCCAGAGCCAGAAGTAAGCCTGGAGCACTGGTTGTTGGGTGTGGCCCAACAAATGGGAAAAAAAGAGAAAAGTTTCTCATCCCTAGAAAAAAAAACTCTACCTATGGTGAAGCATAGTAGTTAAACTTTGTGGAGATCACTCCAATACAGACATATATTGCATCATTATGGCGCATACCTAAAGCAAATACATGGCTGTTTGTCCATTGTAGCACAATAAAACGGGAATACAGCCCCATACGTATGGCATGGGGGAGGAGGACGCTCCATCCCCCCCCACCTGACATCTCTCCCTCACTCCTGAGTCTGGTAGGTCTGCTCCTTGGGGACAGGTACCAGTCTCATTGGGAGAAAGGGTGGCTCAATTTCAGCTGATATTTTGTTTTGTTTTGGGTGCCACATCCTGTGGTGCTCAGAGATTACTCCTGGCTCTGTGCTCAAGGATTGCTCCTGACAGGCTCAGGGGACCCTGTGGGGTGGGCCGTGTGCAAGGCTAGGCCCCTAGTCGATACTAGAGCCCCCGCCTCTGCTGACATTGTAATCCTCTCTCCTTCCTTTTTCCCAAGCTGTCCCATGTGCCTATGCTAGGTGCCAGACTCTGGTGTTCTGGGGCCCCAGGGTGCCTTAGCAGCACCCCCTTCTCAGACTCCACCTGAGATGTGAGCACTAGAACACAAGCCCAAGAGGTTAGGGGACAGGAGGGAGCATGGGTGCGGCTGGCAGGCTGAGTGTAGGATTCTCAACTGTAACATGACTTCAAGAGCAATATACTACAATTAAAAAATAATAATAATGTAGGACCAGAGCAGAGCAGAGCAGATAGGGTGCTTGCCTTGCACACTGCCAACCCAGGCTTGACCCCCTGGCATTCAGGTCAAATGTGTCTTTAAATCATGATAGTCACGTCCTTTCTCGGTGCCTCCCCCTAGTCACTGTGTAATGGGGGTGCTTGTTCTCCCCAAACTGGGGTCCTGGCAACAATGGGGTGACAGCACATGGCCATGCAGACCTTTCCTCCTGCAGTGCTGGGGACGGAATCCAGGGCCTCACATACGCGAGGCAAGTGCTCCCCCCTCCCTGCCTAGCCGCCTCCCCACGCTGTCTGGACCCTTCTTTTGTGCCACTAGGGGCCAAAGACAAAGGTCCAGGACTCAGAGGAGGGACAGTCCATTCAATGGCCACCCAGTGCAGGGATGGGGCTCCCTGCATAACCCAGGGCTCCAGGGCTCAGTCTTGGCGAGCTTCTCCTGACTCGGGCCCCTGAACTCTGCTTTCGCATGACGCTGTAGTCAAAGACTGTTCTGGAGAGAGACCCCCACAGCCCCACCTGCCTGGGCCACTTTGGACAACAGTGATAGCTGCCACACAGGGTGCAGAACAGGGGTAAGCCACAGAACTCCGCTGGCCTTTCCTCCACACAGAAGCTCATCTGAGTCACAGTTCCACCCGTGACAACAGGCTGGCATGTCCTTCCTCTTTTCCTGAGACTTTCCCTCTACCTCCTCTTCTCCCCCTCCTCCTTTTCTCTCTCTCCTGTTCCTCCTCCTCTCTCTCCAGTTGTCCTGGGAAAGCACCTGTGGACCCCCTATTCCTGCCAGGCATTACACGAACATCTCATTGGACCTCACCAGTGGCCCCTGAAAGGGCACTTTCATTCTCTCGTTTGCTCCGTGGGAAACAGGCTTTTCCAGGAGCCGTGACCTGTCCAGGTCAACTCCCTCACAGCTGGGCAGGCAGGGACTGTCTCCCAGTGGGGACCCTCAGGGCTGCCATGAGTCCCTGGCTCTTAGGCCCCTCCCTTCCCATAGGAAGTCGGTGGGGCCCAACCATCCTACCTTGAGTGTGTCCCCCTTGTTGAAAGCCAGCTCGTCACTCTCGGTGGCCTGGAAGCTGTACAAGGCCACAGACTCCATGCCGCCTCGCGAACCGGCAGCTGGGCTCTGACAGACCAGGCAGCTTCCTGCTTCCTCTGCACTCGCTCTGCTCGCTCGCTCACTGGGGACTGTCTTCCTTTGTTTTCAAAGCCTGTTTGTTCTTTTGAAGCGAAGACTGAAACTGCCCCCGACAGGGAAGAAACAGGAAGCTGAGCTCTGTCAGAGCAGGCAGGGCGGGAGTCCCCGGGCGGCCCTGCCGGGGGCCTGTCTCGTACCCCATACAGGTCTTTCAGGCCGAGTGTCCCAAGGGGTGAGACTGCCAAACCTGCCCATCAGCAGAGGGCATCTCCTGGTCCCAGCCACCCCCACTGTGCCAGCGCATCCTGCCTATAGGTTCTGACTCCCATGCCCCCCAGGCTCTCCCTGCCCCGACTAGCCTTGGACTCGGGCTAGTTGTCCTGGGAAAGCACCTGTGGACCCCCTATTCTTGCCAGGTGCTACACGAATATCTCACTGGACCTCGCCAGTGGCCCCAGAAAGGGAGCTTTTATTCTCTCATTTGCTCCGTGGGAAACAGCCGTCCCCACGAGCCTCGTCACCTGCCTCCCCACACTTAGCCTTCCTCAGATCTCTTCTGATCACAGCTTGGCCACACTTTCCTCTCGGTTGCCAGTCTTCTGCCTGATGGGCTCTTCCCCTTTCTCCGCCCAGAAGACCCTGGATACGTCTAACAGAGCCCAGCTCAGAAGGTTCCTCTGTGGTTTCAATATTGAGCACCATCCTATGGGCAAAGAAAACTGTGCAAATCTCGCCCTTCCTTTAGTGGGTTTATTATGGGTAGCGGAGTGGATGCGGTAGTTCCAGAGTGACTGAGGATTGCAGGAAAACGCCTTAAGTGAAGGAATCTGGTGGTGTGGTTTACAACCAGGGGACTAAGGAAAGAAGGGAAAGTGAGCCTCGTCCTGGCCATCAGACAGGGATTGTAAGATGAATCACTGGTCAGACTGCTTTTTCCGAAGGTGTTTTCTTTTTCCCCAAAAAACAGTATTTTCTTAGCCATGAGTATAAGTAAGGTTGCGATAGCACAGCGGGTAGGGCGTTCGCCTTACAAGCGGCCAACATGGCCGACCCGAGTTCGATTCCTCCGCCCCTCTCGGAGAGCCCGGCAAGCTACCGAGAGTATTCGATATGCCAGACACAGTAACAACCAAGTCTCCAATGGAGACGTTACTGGGCCTGCTCGAGAAAATCGACGATCAACGGGAGGGCCTTTGCCTTTACCTTAAGTAAGGTTACATAATGGATTTATATGGATCGTCATTCAAGTTTTTGCAGGGGCCTCTCCACCAGTGCTTGGGGGCCCAGGGGCTACTCTGGTGATAACTGATCAGAGAGACCAGCTGGCAGTTCAGTGTTTGACCAATGATGAGGCACTTCTCTAAGCTGAATAGCGAATGGGGGCTCCCATAGGCACAACTGGTGGGGCTAGGGCAGGGGTGCCGCATATTGAACCTCAGGCCTTACATATTTAAGGCCTGTTTCCACCTCTTTGAGCTATCTCCTGACTCGCTCACTGTTTGTTTGTTTGTTTGTTTGTTGTTTCCGGTTTGGGGCCACACCTGGCAGTGCTTAGGGCTTACACCTGGCTGGGATCAGGAGACCATATGCAGTGTTAGGATCGAACCCAGATTGGCTTATAAGACGAGTGCCTTACCCACTGTATTCTCTGCCTCTGTCTCTCTGTCTCTGTCTCTGTCTATCACTAACTACTTATTTTTGAGGTTCAAAATGACCCAAAGACCTCAGTCCCTAGGAAAGCAGGATTTCCTTCAAAGCACCCCCTTTTCTTTGTTAAACCCCCATCCTTCCCTTGAGCACTCTCTAACTTTCTGGCTGACACTGTGTTTCAGGCTTATCTAGGGCTTTTCCTGTCCTACCCCTGGAGTAAGCTGCTTCTCCAAGGACATGGAAACATTTTCTGTGAAGGACTGTATAGAAGCCAGATACAGCTGATGTTGCTACAGAACTGTTAGTGTCTAGAGTCTCCTAGAAGATAGAGGAACACACACACAGAGACACCCAGACACACAGACATACAGACACACACACACACACATACACAAACAAGCACTCACGCTCTACCTACTATACTTGCAATGTATATAACTTCATTTCCATAAATAAGTTTTAGATATGTGCTTCCTTGGCAGAGAGAGTAATCTATATTTCCATATAGGTCACTGTCACTGTCACTGTCCTCCCGTTGTTCATCGATTTTCTCAAGCAGGCCCAGTAACGTCTCCATTTTGAGACTTGTTGTTACTGTGTTTGGCATATTGAATACGTCACGGGTAGTTTGCCAGGCTTTGCCATGCGGGAGAGATACTCTCAATAGCATGTATTAAAAAGCACAAAGTCAACCAAACACAGATTGATGGGTGCAGACAAAAGGCAGTCACGGTGCCCTCCTATAGCTTTTCTAGAAGTTTGAATCTTTTTTGAGGGGAACCATAGTTGGGTATCACTCCTGGTAGGCTCAGAGGACCATAAGGAATGCTGGGGATCAAACCTGGGTTTGCTGAGGGCAAGACAGAAGGGCCTTACCCACTGTAGTATCTCTCCTGTCCGCTGACGTTTTTCTACATGAAAAGTTGAGAATATATATGAACTTATAATGATCTCAAATAAAAAGGTTAGTTTAAAGAAAGGAAGCTGAGGTGCCCAGGAGATAGCTCCAAGGGCTGGTGTGCATATCTTGCATACTCAAGACCCTGAGTTTGGTCACTGTCACTGCAAGGACCCCGTGTGGTCCCCTGAGCACTGCCAGGAGTGATCCCTGAGCACAGAGCCTGGAGTAATCCCTGAGCACTGCTGGGGTGGCCCGAAAATATAAAACTAAATAAGACAAAAATTTGATTAAAAAAAGACTTTGAGGGATGAAGAGGAAGGTGGCAGGCGGGCTGGAGCCCCAAGTGTGGCCTGTGTGGGGCCCCAGCCTCAGAGCAGCCTGTCCCCAAGGTCCCTGTGATCTCCCCTCCAGCTCCTCCCTGCCTTCCGCAGGCCCCAGACCCCAGGGTAACAGGATGTCATAAGACACCTCTTTCCGGCTCAGTTTCAGCTGAGGTTTCAAAGCCTCAGAATGATGCAGTTGTGGCCAGGGGGTGCCTGGAAAGATTCTGAGGTACTTAGAGTTAAGTGGAGGGAGGCCCCAGGGCTGTGTGGCCAGGAAGCTGATTTGTTTCTCAAAGTCATGCATGAAGTGCTGAGCTTGGTCCAGGAGTCAGCAGGACTGGGGTTCAAGGTCGGGAAGACCTGAATCAGGGCTGGCCACAGCCCTGTGACCTCCTCAGCCATGACTGGGGCTGCTCACCACATAGCAGAGTGTCAGGGGAGCGAGGGGCGCAGAGACATCTTCACGTGGTCACCTGGGGCCCTGTGCCCACAGACAAGAGCAGCCCGCGAACGAAGCTGGGTGAGAGCACACCCCCTTATAGAGCACCAGACCGGGGTAGGCTGATAGGGCCTAGTATGAGGAGACACCAGAGCCCACAGCTGAGAGAGCCCCAACCAGGGTGACAGCGATGGTCCCTGAGAAGTCTCCAAAGCTGCCGCAGGGGGCAGAGAAGCACTGGCCATGAGCAAGCTGTGCTAGAGACGGCTTTGGCCAACCCAGGGTCCCCAGACCCCAGCGTCAGTGCTGGAAGCTGTGGGTACCACCTCACAAGACAAAGAGCCTTTGCTGATGCTCTAGTCGGGGAGGGGTCTGTGAAGACTCTGGATATCCAGGGGGCCTTGGCATACTCCTGTGCCTCTGGGGGGTAGGAAGGGGAGCCCAGGTCCAGGGACTCCAAGAGACTGGAAGGGACCTGCCCCTCTCCAGGCCTGTGGAACTGACTTAGGACCAGGTGAGGGGGGTTGAGGACATAGAGAGGAAATGCAAACTCCTGTTCCTTAATCTGAGGATGGGGTACCAATGACTGGGGGTCAGTCCTGGCATAGTGCTCCAGCGCCATCCCAGGGTGCTCAGAGGGCCGTGCTATGCCAGGGACCACACCAGGGCCTCCTGCATGCAAAGCACAAACTCAGTCCATTGAGCCAGACCCCCCAAGGAATTGTGACTTCAGAGAAGGTCAGAGTTTTGTATTTTAACCTGGAGTAGACTCGAACATTCCAATGACACTACTCGGGGTGTTTTATGGGAGGCTGACTGAAGTATCAGGGGGCTGATCCCAAGTTTTCATGTTGGACCCCATTTAGTGAACCTCCAGCACCACTGAGCCTGTCTGCTGTTAGACCTTCCAACTGACCAAGTATCACCCAAAGTGAACCCTGGGTCCCTGACTAACACTGGGAAGGTCATAGGTGGTTTTTTCTTTCTTTCTTTCTTTCTTTCTTTCTTTCTTTCTTTCTTTCTTTCTTTCTTTTTTTTGTCTTTAATGAATTGAAATAAAATGGGGCCAGAGAGATAGTACATACAGCAGGTAGGACACTTCCCTTGCATGTGGTCTATCCTGCTTCAATTCCCAGCATCCCATATGGTCCCCCTAAGCACCACCAGGATTCCTGTGTGCACAGCCAGGAGGAATCTCTGGGTACGGCCTACAAACAAAACAGAACAAAGTTAGGACCAGAGAGATTGTACAGCCAGCAGGGCACTTGCCTTGCATGCAGCCAACCTGCGTTTGAACCTCAGCACCTCAAATGGTTCCTGAGAACTGCCAGGAAAGGAAAGATCCCTGAATGCTGATCTAGAAATAAATCCTGAGCACACTGCTGGATGTGACCCTTCCCCACCTAAAAACAAAACGAAACACAACAAAAACAGTAATAAGACAATGAAAATAATTTTCTACTCTGAGACTTCTTAGCCTCTGTATGCAGTGCTAGAATTTGGAGGGAGATGGCCCCAGCTTGGGACTCTAAATGACTATGCCTTTTTAGTTAGGTGCATTTCGTTCTGGTCCCAGAGCTGAGAGATCTCATGTTCAGGCTCCAGGCTCTTGCATAAGCAGCGTGCTTATAAGAAGTACTTACTTTGAGTAGTGTGGAGCGGAAGAA